AAAATGTCCTCGGGTGAGGATAAAAAAAAAAAGAAAGAAAGTACATATAATGAAACTGTATCAAGTTGGTAATTAGCCATAATTGAAGGCTGCAGTGGACATTCAGGTCTTTGTTCTGTTTTGTTCGGGCACTGACTGGGGTTGAGGCAAGGCTCGGGGCCTAGTTCGCCCAGGCCGGTGTGCAGGCCCTGGTCTTCTCACAGGCGGAGAAGACCCCGACTGCCCTGAGGCCCGCCAGGGAAACTCCGTGTGCTCTGCAGTGAGCACGTCCCCGTCATGCCTGGGACCACTCCCTCACTGACTTCCTTAAAAGCTAAAAGAGCAGATACTCCTACATCTAAGATCTGATTGAATTACTAGACTAAATGGTAGCAAAACAAATCCCTTAAAAGACAGACATTTCGCATTCAATAACAATGTATTAGTTCAGGCAAGAGCAATGGGAACATACATACTAGGAAACTAATAGCTAATTATGTACACAAAACCCCACTGTATCTATTTCTACATAGGAATAAAAGAGAAGGCAACAGAACAAGATGTCGTTTAACAAAGCTACCAGCACGACAGCACACACCTGTCTGAGTAGCTCCCTAAGCTAGCATCAGAGGACAGGATTCTAAGGTACGCGATGCTGTATAGCCTTCTAGGTTACTATGTTAAGAGCCAGAACTGTTGGGCTTGGGGAATTTCTATATATACTCCATAGGAATATGATGAAAAACGAGATCAACTAGAGATGGAATAAACAAGATAGACTCAGAGAAGAAGTCAAGGCATCAGACTGAGACTTGAATTAAAAAACAGCTTGGCTGGATAACCAGGAAAGAGGGAATACGTACAGTCCGGGTGCATCTGGAAGAGGCAGGACATGTTGAGAGAGGAAGACGTAGACTGTGGAGTTGGGAAAAGAATGTGCTAACCAAGTCAAATGGAAGATTAAAACGCTTCTTTGCAGCCAGTTCTGCGACAGGAATCGGGGAGAAGGAGCCTGGATCTCGTTCTGAGGGAGCACCGGGACCCGGCAGCCAGCCAGGAAGCAGGGAGGGAGGTCCCCAGTAAGTGGCGGGTGACAACGCCACCACCGCCCCGTCTCTCCCTGGGTCTGGACTGCACACGGACGGGCACAATTCCAGACGAGCTCGAGGCTTTGCTGCCTCCTCGAATGTGCAGAAAAGAGCGACTAACAGCCTTCAAGGTTCTTCCCAGGCCGCTTCCAACCTGAAGTCCAGGCTCGTCCTCACGGTTCCCACAGTCCACTAGATGAAACACCCACGGGACACCACTTCCTACACCCACACAGCCTGGGACGTGAGTGCCTCCCCTATTCCACACCCCGAGCCCATGTCCCAGGCCACGCCGGGCTCACACACCTCTCGGAGCCCACGGCGCTGTGCTAGGAAGGCTCTCACTGCACGTCCGCCAAAAGGTTGCCCTCACCAAGGCCTTCCCCGCCCCCACCCTAAGTCCCCTCCCAGACACCTGGGCACCCCTGCGCTGCCAGAAAACTTCACACAGAAATAAACGTTCCGAGAAAAGAGAAGAGGAGACCAGACCCACACCAAAGACTGACAGTGCGTCTGCCCCGTAAGACCTGGTGAAATTTAGTAAATGAGGAACCGTGCAGGAAAGATTTTATTCTAAGACTGAAGGCGTTTCAGTAAGGTACTCAGTAAGACTGATAACCCCCAATGTCTGATCAAGGGGAGTCGCCAGCACCCATGTCAGGGCTCGGCCATCTGAAGGGGGCCTGGAAGGGCAACACTCACCAGCCCTGAGCTGCCCCGGCTGCCAAAAGACTCCTCCAGAAACTGCTTCACGGGAAAATACTAAGGTTTTGATCTGGATATTCATTAATAACTAGAAAAATAAGCGCATTTCCTTGGACTGGAGCTCTCAGGCTCGGACGCAGGAGCACTTAAAACCCTCTCCTGGTACACGTGGCTCAGCGAGCGTGGCGGCCTCGTCCCGAGATGTGGTCAGGTGGAGTGTCCCAACACCACAGAGGCAGGGCCAGGCCAGAGGGCCCGAGTGGTCCTCTCCCGCTCCTGGTCACACAGACGCTCACAGCCTGCTGAGATCCCAGGGCGCACGGCCAACGCCAGCGCCCCCACTGTGCTACAGCCCGGCCTTCCTGCAGAGGCACCAAGTGAGCTGCTTCAGTCCTGGTCATTGTGAGACGCTCATTTTCCAGACTGCCACCAATGCATTTCAAGTCTTAAAGATACTTTGGCTTACAACAGTACAAAGTGAATTACTTGTTTAAAATGGGGAATACTTTAGAGTGAACTTGCAAATTATTGGAACTGTTTTAAAATGTGAATTGAATTTGGCTGTATCTAGTTATGTATATTTACGTGTACAAGATTTCAGAAGTATAGCAATGTATTACTATGAAATGAGTTCATGCAAATTAAGGGACATAAAAGTATGTTCTTATATAAGCCATCACTTCAGGTGTTCATCATAGAGTCAAAAGAAATGTATTTGAAATTATTTAGTTTTCTGACGCTAATCACAGTCACGCTGACAAAATTTATTGGTTCATCAAACAATAGTGTAAGTATATGAATTGATTTGTAATTAATTATCATTTTTGCATATATCAGTCAAAGCGCAAGGCCTAAATACTTGCAAACAAAATGCATTATTAATTTAATTGTCACAGCCTATTTAGCTAACTTCTATTACTATTTGCTATAATATGCAATGCATAAAAGGCGAGAATCAAATTCAAAACATAAAAATAAACTGATTATACTGTCCTGGATAAATTAAAATAGAGCAAGCTTGCAAAATTATAGCCAAGACATTAATGTTTTAAATAGGTAAGAAAAAATGTTTAACTTAATTTAGAGAACAGTTATGCCCAAAGTGACGGTTCAACATGCTGATAAAGAGTTTCTTTGTTTCCTAAAACCATTAAGAGGCCCCTCTGGAAGAATGGAGAAAGGTGCGCTGAAAGGAAGGAGCCTGTGCAGTGTACTGTGGGAGGCTTGGCTCCTTAAACCCCAGCCCCCCAGCTGCGGCCGTCCGCGGAGACCTGCACTGAGAAGCCCCGGCACTCCAAGCCAGTGTCCGTGCGCACGAGGGAACGTCCTGTGAGCAGGTGTCATGAGCAAGAATGATCCTGAAGCTCAGAGCTTTGAAGAGGAAAAACAATTCCATCAAAGATGCTTCATTTAGATAAACCTGGACTACTCAGAAGGCAATAACCCAGAAGATGGGCTGTACCTTTCCATTTGATATTCATTTCCTGACTTTAGGAGAAAAATTGTGCCAGCGACGCAGAAAAGGCTTACCGCATCTCAAAGGGAAGAAAGACACACAATGTCTCTTGCCTCTTGTTAGGCTCCCTTTATGTGCTAGGGACCGAAACAGGTGAAAGTGAGCGTGCATGCAACACCACACAGTGTCTGGGGTTTCAAACTCCTATAACAACACATACATGGTAGCTACTATTTCTAAGGTGCCTGGAGGGTAAATACATGTATAAGATAATAAATGATACATTTGAGTTCAAAATGTATACTAGTTATATAGTAGGGAAATATTTTTTTTACTAAGTATCAGATTGAGATTGTTTATTCAAATTTATTTGTGAAATAAACACCCTAAGTACCTATATGTAAAGAATCTCAAGGTGAAATAATATAATGAGAAGATAGAGCACTGGAATTGGAGTAAGAAAAATAACACTTCTAACATTTATTATGAGATATTGAATTTAAAAATTGTACATTCCGGAAAAATTTATAGTCCTATAAAACTAGAATAATAATACACTGCTAATAAAGTCAAAGAATAATTAATTGAGATAATGCATGTGAAAGCAATGAGAATCTAGTAATTAAAAATGTTTCCACTTTCTTAAACACTTACGAAGCATAACTTTGAACTTATGAAACAGCAAGTTGCAAATTATAATTTAAATAATATAGAATATTCTGAATTTCAGGAATAATGCATTCAGGACATGCTCACTACATACATTTTGGCTCACATTAAATATGTTACAAAGAAAAGTATAAGAAACCAAAGGCAGAAGTGGAGCTATGTGGCGTCCCAATATTCTGACAGCAGTCATGTCCAAACTGAAATGCTAAAGAATACAGCACGCCTCCAGTAGAAAAGTCAAGTTAAATTCCTTGTAAACTTAGAAAATAGTTGAAGAGCATTTTAAACTTTTTAAAAGACAATTAAACATTTAAAATATGGCAGCAGTGGCTCTAGGCTACAGAGTGACAGAGTAAGCGGCATGGTGACCGACATTTAAAACAGTGTTAAAGCGAACGGCTTTCCAACACCATGTTGGAGGACTGGGAAAGGCGGACAAGCTATGTCTTGGATGGAAGCTTAGGGCGCCTACCCTGGTCGAAGCAGCTGCAAGCGTTAAAGATGAAAGGTTTCGGAAGTAGCCCCGCTCGCCTGGCAGCTGACATCACTATATTTCAGCTCACCTAATATGATTAACTTTAGGTGATGAAGCTAATTATGATACAGTAGCAAGAAAAAAGAAAGCCTGGCAGTTGATGACATAATAATTGTAGTGTTATTTTTCATGACATGGCAAATGTAGTATTATTTTAGGGGTGACAAGAATGTATTACTTTCTTAATATCAGCAATGTTTAATTCTACAGTAAGAATGTTATTTTAAAACCTCAAAATAAAAATATAGAGGAAAATAGACCAAGTTTAGTCTTACATATTTATTTTAGCTCATTCGAATGTATTGGCAGAGGTCAATCCCCTCCAATTTAACTCTTCTACTGTTTCAAGGTTGTTTTACAAATTCACAAACTCAAAGTCCCTCAAAGCCTTTCAAATCTTAATATGACAGTAAATTTTTGAGAGAGAAAGGCATAAAACATGATATTCCACAACAGAGTACCGCAAACGCACACCATATGTACTGACTTGATAAAAATTCTAGAAGTCACCTTATTAAACAAATTCTGAAATGAATATATTAGGTTTTTAAAAATGAATGAAAATTACCTTTCTTTTGGGGTGCCAACTCCATGTTTGCCGAGCAGATGAGTGTTTAAGTGCTTCTTCATTACAAAAGCAACCCTAAAAAAGATAATAATAGTAATTATAGAAATAAACTTGGCTCTGTTAGAGTTATATACAAAAAGTATTTAAAAAATAGGCATGTGTATATATGGATGTAACATAACAACACACAGTACAGCTAAACAAACAGCTTGCATACAGACTAAAGATACTGCAATACTTGGAAACCAGAAAAAAATAACTGCATTTAAACTGACTGGTTCGTTTTCTGATTTGAGTCTACTAACGTGACCAAAACAATGCTGCCAGTCTCTCATCTGACAGTCCTCATCTTCACTGTCAGTCAGGAAGCAAGAGGAAGCAATATCTCAATGTAATAACATTCACTGCCCCCTGGTTGATCCCACACTTCAATCACAAGGTGATTTCAGAAAATGTCGTTTTATTAAATATTTAAGGGACTGTAAAAGACAAAATGAAGTTGCCTTAAAAACATGATAATAATTTGAAGGGAGGTTTTAACAGTGATATAAATGTTCATTGTATCCGCAGCACAGGCTGAAGTACCAAGAAGATGTCAGAAGCTAAAACAAAAGTATCTCCTGACATGCTATCCTATTTTACACACAGATCAGCTCGCCGGACTAGTTCTGTTGACATGAACACCGACAGGAGTCTGCAGCTGGCCCATGGAGCGCCCTTCTTCTACTGAGCATGGCACAACGTCGATGTGATTGTGTTGTGTGGTTGTCTAAAACAATTTAGATCTCCTTCAGAAGCATCAAACTCAAACAGCTCTCTTCATGAGCAAAAATAACTTTTACTCTTGTAACTTTCAGTATAAAAGGGCTTGCAAACATTTCTGTTAATTATGTCTTACAGCTGTCCTTCATAAAGTTAATTACTAGTAGCTGAAAGGCAACAGACTATTTGCATATGTACATGAAAGGCATGACATATGCAAAAATACAATTTTAATTAGCATTCTGTGATATGAAGGACTACAGATCAAACTGGCATGTTATAAGATCCTTAACATTAAGCACTGAATTCATCTGGACAAGTCCGCACAAACGGGCGGCGTCAGACTGTGACGTGCTGGGGCTTTCTGGAAGAAACGTGTGTTGAGAGCCAAGACCAGAACAATTTCTAAAACTGTGACAGCTTCTTTCATTTATTTACCTATTTATTTATTTATTTTGGTGTGCGCCCCTAGCGGGAACCGAACCCAGGACTCTCTGGTCCACAGGCCGATGCTCCAACTGCTGAGCCAGACCGGCCAGGGCTGCTTCTTTCCTTTTAGTGTTTGGTCGATTTGGGTTATTTTCATACGCTATCACGGAACCTCCGTTTTGTGGCTAAAATAATATATCTGTATTTTTTAAATGACTACTAGGATTTCATTATACAAATAATGCATCTCTATACACTGAAAATAACATTCATTCTATCTCATGAAATATGTAATAACTATGGACAATTCACACTTTACAACTATAAATAACTGATCACACCATCAATCATTAAAATGAAAAAACAATGATCACATATGAAGAATCAAACTGTGATGATATTAAAGGCTTAGCAAAAATAACTACAAAATATTCTATATTTGTTTCTGCTTGATCTGGACAAAATAAATAACATTTTTCATTTCCTTAGAAAAGAATACAGTAATAACAACAGTCCATTTAAACCATAACTTCCCCACTGTCCTCTATTTTCCTATAATTAAAAAAACATAAAGCTAATAGCGAAGAGCAAAGGTTAAGAACCCAAAGTTGCAAAGCAAAGCTTATGTACATGAGCAAGTATAATGGAAGACCTGGGCATAGAAAACAGTGCGGTTTTAAAAGAAAAAAATTATTAATTAAACTGTTTCCGTTTTAAGAATTCAAACAAAAGTGCAACACTGCCCAGACAACCAACGAGTCCGCAAGGAGGGAGCATGCCGCCCTGGTCCGCCCAACCTCTACCACACGAAGTATTTGGAGGAGCAGCCATTTATATTATTATGGAAATATAATTATAATTCTAAAACACACTGAAGTGATAGTCAAAATATTTATTCATCCAAAATCTGATTTAAAGTAAGTTTAAATTCTCTAAATTTGGTCTACCAAAAACATGAGGAATGTCAGGTCTCCTCTCCTCTCGGATAAAACCGCGGCCAGCGTGAGAGCAAAGGAACTGGGCCTCCAGGGACAGGACGCCGTCAGCACACCCTGACGACCGGGCGTGCCCCGCCCCCCAGCGCTGTTCTAGTATTTTCAACATGCTCCTTATTGTGGAAATTTATCATCTAGATACCACAAGAAATAAGGAACACCTCCTCCTGACACCTTCACACACTCCCTCCGTGCCCCACACACGTGGACGGCACGCAGCCGTGGGCAGCTTCGGCGGGTGGGATGGAAATCAGACCGGTCACGGCCTGCAGCTTCTCCGGGGGGGGGGGGGGGGGGCTCCAGGCTGCCACACCTGCACTAGGAGCGGTTCAGCAGCTCCTGGGCATCAGTGACAGAACAAACCTAAGTCCCTGCCTCAAAAAACGTGAAGCCCGGTGAGGAAAACAGACAAGAAGGAAGGAGAAACAGAGCCTCAGAAATGGTGACCTGGGAAGAAACACGAGAACGAAGACCTGAGCTGTCACCAGGGACCTAACTGCCCGCAGGAGGCTCAGAATGTGGTCTGGGAGCACAAGGTGACAAGCTGGGCATGGCGAGGAGCTGGGAGCCACCACCCACAGGAAGGCACCCAGAGGCCTGGGCTGGGAGCCGGCGCGCCCTTCTCAGAGGGTGCCATGCAGGGCAGGGCAGGGACAGGGGCCCGGTGAGGGCGACGAGCTGGTGGCCAAGGCAGTTCGGGCTGGCACCCAGAGGGAGAAGCAGCGCAGGCATCAGGACAGGAGAGACATGGCAGCCTCACATTTTAACAGGTCCCTCTACTGGAGGGAGAGGGACAGAGAAAACAGGAAGGGGGAGGAGGGACACCGAAACGAGGGGTGAACTAACGGTCTCTTGCACTAATTCAGGCACAGACGACAGCGGCTTGGACCAAGGGCTGGCAGTAGAGAAGAGATCTGGTCGAATTCTAGATATCTGCTTGTGATTAGGGACGACCAAATCTCCCGTGGATGGGACGGGGAGGCAGAGCAGTCATCCAGGTTCGGGCCTGGAAATGCCGAGCTGCTCTAAAGGAGGGTGCGCGCCGGGGCCCCGCGCCGCGGGGAGGCCCACCGACACCTGGGAGGTGTCTAACGGGAGGCCGAGCAACGGGTCTGGAGTCTCGGAGCAAACTCGGCTGAAAACAGACTCTTTGGAGCTGTTGGCCTGGCAAGTGCCTGACACCCTGAAGGAACACCTTGAAATAATAAAAAACAGGGTTTCTTAAATATGATTGATTTCCAAGTATCTATAATTGCCTGAAATAGCGTCACTTAAAGCTGTTCTTGGTGTCAGAGAGCAGCACAGTAATAACACGTACATCCCAGCTACAGATTTCTGCTTCTCAGGACAAAACTTTCATACTGTATCTCCTAATTTCAGAATAATCTTTTCCACACGGTATCAATATAATAGAAACCTCGTCCTTCAATTCCTTAGATTTTATCACAGTGGAATTATTTCAACTTGAAAATCACAAAAGATTATCTGACTGACCTATTAACGTAAATAAAATGCACCACCGTGAATTGAGAGAGAGAAAAGCGAGAGCAACGAACACGCACAGCCACGGCGCGGGGCAGCCCGCCCGTCCACGGCGGTATTCGATGCAGGACCAAGGGCAGGCGGCACACGCTGCGTCCCGCACCGGAGGAGGAGAGCGCGGCAGCAGGATGAGTCCCGAGCTGCTGCTCCGCTTTTCTGTGTCCTCCTCATCGCTCTGAAAAGGTCAGATGCTCCTCAGCCACAGGCCTGCAGGACATCACATCCAACTACTTGGAAATTTCTAGTGATCAGGTCAGTGTAGTCCAGGTTGTGGGAACATAAATGTATTTGCTTTTAAGAAGTTAAAATCTAAAGACAGGAGCACGTGGGTTAAAAGAAAAACACGTTAATCTAAGACAGTGATGAGCACATTCACCTCCTGCTCTGGGTCATCGACACATCCCTCCCACTGGTCCCCTCCATGCCACACAGGTCCCAAGCTGCTGGTCAGAACACAGGGTGAACTAAACAGTTACATAACCGACAGTCCTCAGTCACTGAAGCAGCACAAAAAACACAAACCGGCCAGCGAACAGCAAGGTTAGCGGGCCGGGACAACCAGAGGATCACACACGACAGGCACCCTCACCCAGACACGCGTGGCCGTCTGCGCTCCCGCTCACTCGGGAAGACTCCCACAGCGGCTGACAGGAGCAGCCCTCGTCCCCGACGGGCAGTCCACAGCCACGTGCCCAAGGCGGGCAAGGGGCCAGTGCAGAGGCGGTGGCAGATGGCCCTGCCTCTCCTGCCTGGTGTCAGCTAGAACACCGAGGACGTTCTGAGCGGCGCTTCTCGATCGAGATGTGAGGAGGGCAGCTCTTGCTGGGAGCTTTGCAAGGATGGACTAGAACAAAGCCAACACCCTGGTGCATGAGGGGCAGGTGAAGGGATGTTAATAAACCACAGCTAACCTTAGCACTGCCATTTCCAAAATCATGCCGTGACATGGTAACATCTAGAAAAAAGACAGTTTCAGGATGTGAACTCCGAAAGCCTCCGGCCAGTTCAGGCAGCACCTGACGTCAGATGCAGAACAGCGCCAATGAAGTTCCAGGTGACGTGTGCAAGACGCCCGAGAGCATCCAGGTGAGGACCCCAGGTGCTCCCACAGCTGGAGCAGGCCCCACAGACCCCTCCCAGAGCCCCCCTTGATTCCTGTGACGCTGCAGGAGCAGGATTCTGGGCAGAAAGTGCCTGGGCTTCCACCTGGTCCACCAGGAACCCCCTCCATGAACTCGCACCTGTTCCTCAACCAGGGGCCACAGTTTCCTCCTTAGGAAACGGGACAGTACAACTGCTCCTACCTAAGGGGCTATTACAAGGGCTGCAAGGGTGTGCACAGTGCAG